GTTATTTTCGTGAGTTTGCACCACGTGTTCATGAGTTGTTTCTGCACTGTTCATGCCTTTAGGGTTTTACGTCGGGCCCTAGACGACGGCTACTTTGGCCAACCGGACAACGAAGAAGTTGTGACCAAAGAGAATGATTTTATTTCTTGCGCATGCGTTTGTAGAATGACGTAATGCTCAGTGAGTAGGTCGCTACAGTACTCCCCCGCCAGTGGTGAGGTCGAGAGGAGCGAAGCACGATAAACAAGAAACAAGAAAGAGAAAAGAAAGGAAACGCAGCATGTACAAGGCGGAAAGGCAAAAATATAATAATAATTATGATACATATGTACAGGCGAGAGCGCTGCGTGTATGAAATTTGTTTGAGACGTGGCAACAAAGGCCGAAACAAAATCAAAAATGCAGAAAGCGGAAATGAGAGAGATGCATGACAGAGGCGGGTTAACATGTCAGAGGTGTGTTAACGTGACAGAGGTGGAGAGCATGTCAGAGGCAGAAAGAAAGAAAAGAGGAAATGTACGCGTGACAGAGGAGTATTATCATGTCAGAGGCGGCTGCATGTTGCAGGCTTGGCGGGGTACCAGCAGGAGCGCTGCACTGGGGCGAGGCGTGCCAACTGAGGCGGGGACAGATGGAGGCGAGCGCAGCTCCATGGGGTCCAGTGCCGGGCGTGTGCCTGCGTGCGTGCACGGTGAGTGAGCTGGTACGACGGGTGGAGGTGGCCAATTTCCAGCTTGAGGCCAGGACGAATATGGACGAATACGGACGACTGGACAATGCCGTGGCAGGATAGCGGGGTATCCAGGTGGGCCGGGGAGGGTGGCAGGGGCCACAGCAGCTCCGAGGCGGATCCAGTGACGAGTGGTGGTGAGGCTCAAGTTTTACGTCAACAGCCGGCGATTGACGGGATCCCGAGAGTTGAGGCGAGCACACTTACTCTTTATCTTAGCCCTCACTTTTTGTAATACTTACGCGTCATGTGTCACACTTCTTTGGATTATTAACCTTTGTTTTCCCTTGATCACTTTAGTTCCGTATTTCCACTGATGCGGATCGGAGCTTGAAAATCGATTCTGGAAACACACAATCTAAAACCTTGAACAAATTGTCATGTTGCGTGGTGATGTCTGCGGCATTCATACTTTTCATAGCTATTATTAAACTTTTATCTCCACGTAGATTATTTGAATAATAATAATAATAATAATAATAATAATAATAATGTGGAAAGGAAGAGGACATATGGATACAAGTTAAGAGTAACTCTCCATCACTGTAACTGGATACTATATACAGTCAGAAAGTGCAATAACTAGGCACAAAACTGACAAGAGTACTGAGACATTCAGCTCGTGCTTATCTTGGTTGCGCTCACCTTCCCATCCTCATGTTATTTCTTTAACTTAGAACCTTCCAAGTTGGAAGGCTGTTGGAGTGCGCATCCAAGATGTGCTAGGGCTGTTAGCTACTAGTAGTTAGTTATAGAACGTCAGTACCGTCGGTCAGTGCCGTGCAATGGCATGAGCTGAGAGGTGATTGTTTAGTAACTGGTGGACATTATAGTGTAACTTGTAGTTCCTGCGTCCTTTTTACTTTTTATACTTGATCTTTAGTATATATTTTATTCCGTTTCGTTTTGTCATTTTGCATCACATTGTGAGGTTTTCCCGAATAAAGCTTTGTACCACCCCCAGGGAATCAGGCCATGCACTTGTAGACACCGCTCGTGTAGGTCATGACGTCGCTGAAGCCGGTGAGGCCAGCTTGAATCAGTCCGAATTTCATTACGTACTAACTACACGTACTTCTAAAGTGTGCTCTACTGTAATTTGCAACGTTTTCGCTGTAACTGCACCTGTCATGAGAAGTGTCATCCACCACCTTGGTAAAAGGAAGCTAAAGAGCAACAATGTGAAGAAGAGGTTGGTGCGACTTGGTTTTTGTTTTTATTATTTCAGTTCGTTGCCTCAACACTTCAGCAATACCACGTAGGGAGCAACACACAATTCCCAAGTATCACCGAAGTCGCACCAACCTCTTCTTCACATTGTTGTCCCTGGCGCGGGCTTGCGAATTAGATGGTAAGCCGCGGCTATGCAGGCAACAACGTTGTGAATCATGGCCAACAGTCCTCAGCGTTTGTTCAGCACCACCATGCGCGACACTGACTCACGCTGCCATCTGGTGTTCACGAGGTGTTTGTCGCGCTGGAAACGGAGCGTCTCTTTAAGTTTATGTCCCTGGGGATGTTTGTGCCTGGAGTGCACTATATACGTGGTGCTCAGGCAGAATCTTCTTCAGCCCACTCAAGCTCAACATTATGAGGGGTGAATTCCCCGAAACACTGTGTATTGAGCAGGGAGTGGTGCTTTCTTACAGGTTTGCCGAGTGGAATGTTCGATGGATTTCTCGTGTGCTCTGGATGGCAGTCGTGATTCAGTCGAGTGAGAATTCAAGTCGGCAGGAATAGCGCAAGCTCCCACGTAAGGAGCAACACATAATTCTAAAGAGCAACAGGTGGAGAATGCACGTGTTGCAAATGAGACACTTGAGCCAGTTCAAGGGAAATTAATGACAACTAAGAGTAAGACAAGCCCAGGCAACTTGGCATCTGAAATCAAGATTGTGTCAAGGCGCCGCCTGTCAGAAACCTACTGTCTGCTGTCGATATTCCGTGCACATTTAGTCGTACATCGTACACACGTCCAAGATCTCAGTTCACAATTGTGTGCACTGTGGTTGGCCACTGTACATGTAAATACTGACCGGATGCTAAAACCCTTGTAGCATAGTCTAATATACAAGTACGTTGGGCGTTACGACGACTGGCCTACTGTATCGAGACATGTGGCATGTTTCACCTCGCTGTGGGGTTCAGGCTCCTACCTCAGATTGCTGGTACTGTATCTGGCCCAAATACTTGCTCAGTGCACTAAACGGAGACACGCCTGGAGCTGAATCCGTCTAAAACAAATGCCTGTATGCTTCGGAACGTGCTCAGTGATATCTTCCTCGTACATTACGAAGTATAAGAATCATTGGCTCAAAATTCACAAGCACACTACGGAGAAGAACGATCGACGGACAAGAAGGAACACAGGGGATTCAAGGAGAAGGTCTATTTCGCTACGGGGTTTGCGTCAATGATGGCAAATGTCTCCTTGAGGATAGCATGTCTGCTCGCTGCGTTTGCTTTACAAGAGGCTAACAGGTAAGTTGTATTTTCGTGTGGTAACGTGTCTAAGTCTTGAAGGCCATCAATCTACTGATATAATATCGGATCTGGCACTATACTAAGGTTATCATGTATTTCGAAGACCCATCCATGCCGACCGGCAGCAGTTTCGAGCCTGTGTGTTCTTCACTGAAAGTGGATTGCTCTGGTGCGTGATAGTATGGGCTATATGCATGTATATAGGGCTATTAGGGTAGTGCGTGTTTTCTTTCCCACAAACTGCGGCGCACGATATTATAATCGTCGTGGTTGAAAATCTTCCGAGTGGATTCTGTTTTAAACCTCATAGCTGGTGTAATGCTGTGGGACTACACTGTACATGTATATCTGAAACCCTGATAATTCTCGTAGCGCCTTTAAATAATGTACTAAATCGTTTTGTACTCACGTATTGCACTCTTTCTGGATCCCAGTCCGAAGACACTGCAAGTCTGAACGAACCAAATGTTGGTCTTGGGTCTCCTCTGATTAGGCATCAGTTTGTGAATTCTCTTCCGTGTTTTTGCTTGTATGTGGGTTCGGGTGCCTGCGACTGTGTACCTTCGCATGTGTTTGTTTGTTCGTGCCGGTGCGTACGTGCGTGCGTGCGTGTATGACTCTACAGTGCACCGGTAAGTGTGGTCTGGATCATTCCAATGTAGGCCAAGCGAGTATTTTCCGGAAGCCAAACGGATAATTCCAAGGTGGTCCACTCAGGTCACCAGATGAGCAAGAGATGAAACCTCGGCGGACTCGCGTGAATGTCTTGACATCTTGTCAAGGATTTAGATAGATGCCAGGATTACGAGTTATCAGCTCATCAGACAACAGGAGTGCAAGAAATGACCAATATCCTTATAAAAAGTGGAGGCCTTGTTAACTCCATTGTGAAGCGGGTGCATTGTCATTTGTATGGTGATGCGTGTCGAACAAAACCTATTCAAAATATTGGCCACAGTTGTTAGCAGGAGAATTCTGTGTTGTTCCCTACGTGGAAGCGCGCGCTTTTCCTGCCGACTTGAATTCTCACTTGACTGACTCACGACTGCCATCCGGATAACACAAGGAGTTTATCGAATCTCCCACCCATCAAACCTGCAAGAAGGCAACACTCCCTGCACAATACACAGTTGTTAGCAGGCATGATAAACTGCTGGCGCATGATATTTAGCAATTCTCGTTTCTTCTTCCTACATTCCTTTCGTACCCTGTTTCATGTCTTCCCCTCTTGACTCCCCATGTAATCAGGCTACATACGAGAATCCCATGATCAGCGTTCATTTGCTTTGTTGAGGATCCTCTTTTTAATAAAATAAACAACCAAATAGTCCGGCGTGGGGAGCAAACGCCTTTCCTTTGTGATCATCGCCGAAGTCAGCACAACTTTGAGAGAAATAAACAACAACAAACAGCAACAAAAAACATAAATTATATTAAATTGTCTGAAGAAGGTGTTTAACGGTCACTGCTGGGATGACAGCTACACCATAGCTCAGCGGTTAGAGCATCACTGGCCTCAAGCGAAAGTCCCTGGTTCGAGTCTAGGTGGTGAAAGTCATTGTTTTCTTCAGACTTTTCCCTTTTCCATTCCCTCAGCTAGTGAATACCTTTTAAAAATACATGTAGCCATTTAGCCTAAGATGGCGTTGATGATAACACGCTTCGAACATATGAGATTGCGTCTTCAGATCCCGCAGTGACTTGTCTAATCCCATTCCAAACGGACATGAAGTACATGACATGTACATGTACATGTACATTGTGTACATGTGTATGCCTAAATTAGCACAAAGAGTGACGGTCAGAGTGCGCTGTTGCGGACATAACGTAATTTTATTCAAGGTATCTAGGTGAGCCAGTAACGTTATCTGTAACACGGCAGCTGGTGTGTATACCTACACGGAGATTGAGTATCTACGGGCATGTACCGACAGGTACGTTTACATAATGCATGTATCTAAGCCAGCATAGCGCCAAGGAAACAAACACTTTAGTACTTCTATCTTCAATCTTCACCTTTGCTTGTTTTTAGCTGCTTGGCAACCTGCTAACGTACAAGTGCAGTAGCTCGCAGCGGGGGAACGTTCGCTACAGCCTTCTGCAAGCGGGAGTTCAGTTCTGTGATGGACGGATATGGAGATTGGTGAACCCGCACGGTCAAAAATCAGCCATGGATACTAGCTGTGATGGCGTCAGGCTTAACGGTAAGATGGTTTGTTGATGAGAATCCAACGTTCCAGTGGCTACTTGGATAAAGTCAACAACGTGCATGAAGACATGGCCACAGCAGGGGAGGATAGAGACACCCGGGGAGAGAGTTTGTGTGTGTATGGGGAAGGAGAGGGAAAGAGGAAAAAGGGAGAGAAGCCAATAGACAGCTTAGAATAGCTGAAACACACAACGGGACAAAGACTCCACATGGATACTGATGGATTTCTTTTAAACAAGTCTCGAGTCCCGCTCGCATTTTATAGTTGCGCTATTTTCAGTTGTGCACTTTGAATCTCCTAGCTGGGTCTACATTATTTTGTACATGTACATGTATGCTGGTAAATTCAAGCATCTGTCAAACAATACACCTCGTGAATAATGACCTTGGGTTGAAACTAGCGAATAATGACGCAATCTTCAGGCATAGTGTCTAGTAGTGACCACTCCAACAAATTACCTGAGTACATACTTTCAACTTCATGAATAACGACAACTCGCAAAATTACTACCAACACCTTTCTCTGGCAAATTTGAGGATCGTTATTCGCAAGGTTGACAGTGTAGAGAATTCTGGAAGCAGACAGCAAAGAAAGGAAATTAAAGAGCCAGAGCCAGGGACAGAGTCACGGGTATAGGAGCAAAGCCAGAGACAGAGAGGAGTGACATACGCTGATGATGCTGCTCTAAATTCGTGATGTCCCGACTAAACAGTATCTACATGTACATGACTACTGTATCCAATGGTAAATAATGCTTTCCATCTTGGAATCGCAAGAATCGGGAATTGGCAACATTAGGTGTACGTAAAATCCATCAGTTCAGGTTGTTGAAAAGGGAAAAGGTCTGAAGGAAAAATTGAAAAATTGACTGTCACCACCAGGACTCGATCCAGGGACCTTCGCTTCAGGCCAGTGAAGCTCTTACCACTTGGCGGTGGAGCATGTGGCCGATGTAGCTATCATCCCAGCAGAGGCCAGACCAGACTACAATAATATTATTGTAGACCAGAGCAGAGAGAATAATTATGAATGTGTATGGTAACTGGTTTGAGGGAAAGAGACAAACGGGAAACGTATGAAGAACAAATTGACTGCCACCACCAGATTGTGTATGTATTTATGTGTTTTCATTTCCTTCAGGGCATTCACGTGGTGACGGCCTTTACACGCTTGCACTGGCTAGTAGTGACACTGAATACAAGGCGTTCTGCGATATGACAACGGAGGGTGGTGGATGGACGCTGTTCGCCACCAAGGCATCCTACAACTTTGACTACATGTCACCAGCATTCAATCCGTTGGCTGCCAGGGCTCAGGACTTTGACGCGGCCGGCTGTATTCCCACGGACAACTACACGCAAGTTTTGTTCAGGTAGGTCAGATTTTCGCGTGATTTTCGATGTTGAGTCCACAGAGGACGAAGCAGTTCTGTTCGCATATTGAGTAATACTGTATGATAAAATCCTTGTCACGATGATATAATCCATGGTGTGATCCACAAAATGTCTTCAAAGATTGGAACGGTACTATTCGACTGTTCAATAATGCAACAATCTCTCCTCCTCTTCTCCTCCACGCGCTCTCAGCCGACACATAGAACTAACGAAGGAGTTACGGGTACTTTTAAGTATTCATACTGATATTCCTCCCAAAGGCTCGTCAGAGATGTTCATACTCAACAGGATATTGTCATTATTGACATGGCAAATACATGTACTTATAAGGTCTATTCTGGGCGCAAGAAACTAGGCAAGGTGTAACACTGAGATGTTGCAAGAAAATTAAGCAGTACGCAGTGCCCAGGGTTCTAGGAAAAATAACAGGTGAGAACTGGTATACATGTACATGTAGTCATCCAATCGTAAGCTGCAAAGTTTTTTTTCGGGGGTAACGGCCTCTTTTGCGGGCAAGATAAAGTCATGTAGACGGCTCGATGTACATGTAGTACAGGTACAGTCTATGAGGGTGTAAATACGTACAGTAGCTGATCATGGAAAAAAAGAGTTTTGGAAAATCATAAGTAAAAAATTACTCTACAATGTACATGACGTGTACATGTACCCGGCAGTTGCGAAATAATTATTTCATTTTTCATTTTTTTCATTTAGACTTTATTTGAAGTATTCTCCAAAAGTAAATGAATACTTAAAATATTGTGGCATTTAAGGGGGCAGCCTACCCATAAATTTCATATGGCATTCAATTGACCGTAACTTTGGTGTTTCTCAATGGATTTGAGTGAAATTTTGACCACACACTCCTGCCACTATGCTGGCCCTCAGGACATGATTTACAAGTTCTTGCGCCTCACTGACAGGCTTTCCAGGCCGGAAAAACTCAAATTTCCGGCATAGTGCCACGGTGTGCGAGCCACCCAGGAGCCAAACAAATGCATTTACAATTTTTTCACATTTTCGTGCTCATTCTGTTCGTGCGCGGGACTCAAACCTAGAACAAGTCCAGAAGCAGCCATGGGTGATGGGGTAGGGCCCCTCAACGAGGCCCTGGAATCTGTCACAACGGAACGAGTGGGCGTTCTCTCACACACTCCCACAGACCCAAGTCAATTTTTAAATTTTTTTACGTTTAGCACGTGCTACGAGGTCGTACCTTTGATACAACATCCAGTGCTGGGACCTCCACAGCAAGCCATTTCCACAGCGCTGCACACCAAATCCAGGATACCCTCAGAAACCGGCAAAGACTACCACTCACGTTTCACTACTGCCTACTGAATCCTACCTGACTTCTTGACACGACTCAAACTAACTTGCCAAAGTCACTAAAATCAACGTCAACTACAATAATCAAGCCACATATCTGCAACGTCACGAGGGTGCTGGCAAAAGTCCTGCTGCACGGCGGCGGGCTTCGCCCGCCGCCGTGCACCCAATACGTGGCTCAAAAACGTGATTTTTTGGACTTAGCACTCAATATGAATTTACAAATTCGATTTTTCAGCGAATTTTTGGGTAGTCTGCCACCTTAAGGAAAAGGGCTATTCACGATATGAATGGCCTGAATGCACTACATGTATCACATGTACATTTATTTTTATTTTTTACAGAACATGATTGTCGGCTTGACGTATATTTACTGTCTTGTGAAGGTTCCGCGATGACGACGGTTCTCGAGTCGTCTACACACGTGGGGTTGGCAAGATGTCTGCAGGCAAGATAGCTCTGGACAGCCTTCTGCGCTGCGACAAAGCTTTTACAGGACGGACGCTTGTCAGCGTGGACGGATTTTACAGGACCACTCCTCGGGTCAACAAAGGCATGCGTGATCCGAGTATCAATTTCAAAACCGTGCAGAGACTCAGTATGAATCCCACTGCAGGTATTTCAGAGGACCATAGAGATTCGAATCAGTGGCTCGACCTCTGGGGTGGTCCTGGCGGAAGTACTAGTAAGTTCTTTTCAGTGGACGATGCAAAGGCGAAGGGAACCAAGTGCGTGGCTGGCACGTGTCGCCTTCAGGAGCCAGTCTACTTGATGTATCGCTGATATTTGCACTGAGCCTGCAATCTGCATAAAGCGAATGGACTTCTGCTTACAACCGTTGCCTTAATGATGTCTCATTCACTTATTAGCTTTCTGCCTCTCTTTCAAGTCCATATCCATTGATTATCGTTTCTCTTTTTTTGGTGTCCTCGTTTAGTAATAATACAATATTCGCGGGATCCGCGTTAGCATCACTTGAATGTTCAGAAACACACAAGCTATAGCCTTCGCTTCCGGAGGCCACCACTATGATATATGCCTTTTCACCTGAGTGGCGAATGCAGACCTCACAAGTGAGTCAGAGAGAGGAGGTGACGTGAGTCTCTCATTCTCAGCCAATCGGGCGTGTAACCATGGTAACGGCCCATAACCCTGTAAACTGCATCCTTGTTATCCTCACTCCGAGCCTGTGAGTACCCAGTTGTCCGAGTTGACCGTGGGTGTCGGCGCAGTTCAACACTAACACGCGTAGAAAGTCTTTTTACACGCTCCTAGATCCTAGTCTACAGTCCGAGGGGGTATTTTCTAGAAACTCGTAACTATTAGGAGCTCACAAATATTTTTTCTTCAAGTAGAGCTATTTCTGACTAAGTTGTGGCTGCTGAAGCCGATAAAAGTATCGGCAAGTCTGTACAGTTGTCCGTTTGATATGGCGATCTTCCGCTGCATACGGAAATTGTACATGTACTCTAACCCAGTCATTCTAGAGTATAGTGAGTTTCTGCATACAGAGTCCGTTTGAGACTCCAGTTGGTGGCAGTCAGGAAGGGTGCGACTCCCTGGTGCCAATAAAACATCATTCAGCTGAATATATTGAAAAATACAATGATGATGTGGGCGATAGCCAGCTATGGCGGTAATAGAGCTAGAGGGGAGAAAGAAAAAGAATGAAAGGGGAACTGAAAAGTAAGAGAAGCGCGGGGAGCTAGGGCAGGGCTGGATATCAACTAGTATGTTGCATTCTGCAGTAGCTGTATGAATGTATTGTAACATTGGCAGGATTTTAGATTTTGTGGGAGGAGAGACCAATGGCGGTAAGCAAGGAAGAGAGGAGATGTTTGCATAGAGTCAGACCGCGCAATAGTGAAGCGGAGAGAGTTTCTGGTGCGCATGTCTTGAGATTGAGCAAACCAGCTTAGGCAGGAGAGAGCATGTTGAGGAACAATGCCCAGCTTAATTTTATGAATTGTCTGGCATTAGGCACCGGCGGATTATGCCGGCATAATTATTGGCATAATTTGGTGGTTGAAATTTTGGAGCATAATTTGGCATCCTCTCGGAGGTAGGAGCATAACTACATGATTATACCACAGTTCTAGTATGTAGGCTACACAATTATTGTGTACAATGCACCTGATCAGTGATGGTGGTCTGCATGGTAAAGGGTTCGGAGGTCATGCAGATAGTGTTTTCAATGAAAAGCAGGGTAGAAATCATGGAATACATTTTGTGTGCTTGAACTTGTCTTCTCAAAGTTCTTTCTCACCCTGATACAGTACATGTGGCAGAAGATGCGAGTGAATCAGCCTTTTATCAAGTATCCCAGGGCGGACGAGATAGTGATGGGTAGTCCGCAAAACTCCGCGTACATGTACACTATACATGTTACGAAGTCATCACGTCTGGATCTTAGCAGGTATGACTGTGCAGGCTATGGGTATTGCTCTAATAATTAAACAAATTGAGGTAAAGTTGATGTTCGGTCACGATGGAAGGAGAGCTGGAGCTACGGGAGAGATGAGCTCATTATGAGAATTCGCAGGGTAAGGGTGACATCGGTTGGACGTAGTAACAGGGCGCTAAGAAGAAAATGACATATAAATTACGAGTTATGACTAACAGTCCATCAACGTAACGAGATAATACACAGTCAGATAGTGCGACAACAAGGCACAAAACTGACAAAAGATATTGAATAAATAAATAAATAAATAGAACTGACAGGGACATTTCGGCGACCTGACACCTACACGTAGCTCCAACACATCTACGAAGCGCGAACCAACAACCTTGGTTGTAACTTGGAACAGCTCTTCTTGCGCATCCCTTCGTCTCATTGAAACTTTCCACACCTGAGCCCTCCAAGTAGCATACTAGTAGTTGGAAGGTTGTTGGTTTGCGCTTCGTAGATGTGTTGGAGCTCCGTGTAGGTGTCAGGTCGCCGAATGTCCCAATATCCCTGTCAGTTTTGTGCCTTGTTGTCGCGATATCTGACTGTATATTATCTCGTTACCTTGGTAGACTGTTAGCCATGTCTCGTAATTTATAGGTCCTTTATCTTTACATAATACCTTTGGCTCAACATCCGAGTGTTTTACGATGCTAAAACGCTTGTAGAATACTCATATACGTTGTGCATTACGACGACTCGCCTACTGTATCGAGACATGTGGCACTTACCTCACTGAGGGGTTCAGGCTCCTAACTTAGATTGCCGGTATTTGGCCCAAACACAAAATGTACTTGCTCAAGTCACTAAACGTAGACACGCGTGTAGCTGAATCCGTGTGAAAGAATGCTTGCATGCTTCGGAACGTGCTAAGTAATAGCTTCCTCGCACATTACGAAGTATAAGAATCATTCGTTCAAAACTTCCATGCACACTTCTGAGAAGAACGATCGACAAGTAAGAACACGGAGGGATTCAAGGAGAAGGTCTATTTCGCTATGGGTTGTGCGTCAATGATGGCAAATAATAGGTCACTGATGATAGCATGTCTACTCGCTGCGTTTGCTTTACAAGAGGCTGACAGGTAAGTAACTTAGTTGTAAATTTTGATGGTTGCCATCAATCTACTGATATGATATCGGATCTGGCACGAGGGTCGCACATGTATTTCGAAGACCCATCCATGCCGACCAGCAGCAGTGTCCATAGGGCTAGGGAGCCTGTAGCCCGTCCTCTCCTGCACTGGCAGTGGATTGCTCTGATGGTATGGGGGCACATGAGCGTACATGTACGTAGAGCAAAGCCTGAGGGTAGAGCGAGCTAGGGGGACATTTCTTCTGTCTGTTTTCTTTCCGACAAGCTGTTATAGTATTATTATAATCGTCGTGGACGAAAATCTGCCGAATAGATTCTGTTTTGAACCTCTGAGATGGTGTTATGTTGTGTGCCTACGTCTGAGTTTTGTACTCATGTCTTGCACTCTTTGTGAATCTTAGTCCAAATGCACTGCAAGTCTGAGCAACCCAAACATTGGCCTTGCAAGTTCTCCGCTGAGTAAACGTCAGTTTGTGAATTCTCTTCCGTGTTTTAGCTTGTGTGTGTGTGCGTTTAGGTGCCTGTGATTGTACAATCATGTACCTTTGTATGTGTATGTTTGTGTGTGCGTGCGTGCGTGCGTATATGAATCTGCAGTGCACCGGTAAGTGTGTCCAATGGATCTGGATCATTCCAATGTAGGCCAAGCGAGTATATTCCGGACGCCAAACGGATAATTCCAAGGTAGTCCACTCAGTTCACCAGAAGAGAAGAGATGAAACCGGGCGGATTCATGTCATTGCCTTGACATCTTGTCAAGGATTGAGATAGATGCCAGGATTACGAGCTATCAGCTCACCAGACAGCAGGAGTGCAATAAATGATCAATATCCTTATAAAAGGTGGAGGCCTTGTAAACTCCATTGTGAAGCGGGTGCATTGTCATCTGTATTTTGATGGGTGTCGAACAAAATCTATTCAAACATTAGCCACAGTCTCGGCAGGCATGTTGAACTGTTGGTACATGATATTTAAACAGTTTCCTCCGAGACAAAAATGCGATAATACTCATAAAAAGGATACACTTTCAAGATGTTCGTAATGAGCCTGAAGTGTTTCCTTTTTATGAGTATTATCACATGATATTTAGCTTCTCGTTTCTCTTCTCCCAAGTTGCTTTCTTACACTGCTTCATGCCTTCCCTTCTTGACTCCCCAATGTCTTCCGACTACGTTTGAGACTCCCATGATTTGTTTTCATTCCCTTTTTTTGACGTCATTTTACTTCGCAAATCCAAACGGGAATTTCTTCCCAAAGACAAGGTAGCGAAGCTTTCAAGAATCCTTTCTAATAAAATAAACAACAACAAAATAGTGGGGATCAAACACCTCTCCTATGTTATCATAGTCAAAGTCAATATAACTTTAAAAGATAAATAAGCAACACCGAAAAAGACTACAACGAAAAAATAGAAAAATTCCACTAAGCCCTTCAGCCTGAGATCGGGTTGATGTATAACGCACACTAATGCACGTCGAGCATGACCAGATCAGAATGATAACGTCATCAGATCTCGGGGTGACTTGCAAATTAAGCTAATCCCATTCCCACAGATGTACCGCCAGCCATGCATCGACCAGGCGCCAGGCGCAAACTGATGGTGGTGGTGGTGAGAAGGAGAGCTCAGTGCCAGAACTTTGCAGCCTAGAGAGCGTGTGTGGGCAGGCGTGTGTTTACCGCCATATTGCCAGGTGTGTCTTTACCACCATATTTATCAACCTTATTCACTGGTTTGAGGGAAAGATGTCCAGTCTAAAGAAGAAATCGACTGTCACCACCAGGACTGACCAGGGACCTTTGCTTGAGGCCAGCGATGCTCTAACCACTGTTCTGGGCTATGGCGTAACATGTACAATCATATACAATGTACATGTAGCTGTCATCCCAGCAGTTATCAGAGTACACGCCAGAGAAGAGAGAATATGTGAAGTATATATTTAGGCCAAAACAAATAATGACCTTGTTTCCGGTCGCCCGACCGGGCCACTTTTTCCCAAATTCAGAAACTTTTTTTTGGTCCCAAATGTATGCAAACGGTGGCAATGCCATGTGTGCAAGTGCACTAAACGAGTCATAACTCAGTCAAATCTCAACCGAATTCCACAATTGAAACACCTACAAGGTAGCAGAGATTCTCAGCTGTCAGCTCGAAAACCTCCGGGGTCGATACGAGCTAGAATAACGGAGCTGGAAGGACTCGAACTGTTTGCTTGATTTCTCAGGATGTACGAAAACAGGAATACACCACCGGCAAGTACAAGTACAAGTACAGTCAAATCTGTTGTAAGCGACCGCCCCTTGGTGCAAGAAAAAGCGGTCGCTTACGGCAGGTGGTCTCTTACGGCAGATGTATGGTAAATCCGGCATACCAGGTATATGCTTCCATGTACTCAAATCGACGAGAATAATGTGATTTTTAATATCATTTTATTGGATATTCAACGACGACCATACCCGTATAGTACGCGTATGCGACACGGCAGTAGATCGACACTGCCTGGACTTGA